AAAATGGAGGATGATAACAGACTTAAGAGCAACTAATAATGCAGTTCAACCAATGGGTCCTTTACAGACTGGACTTCCTTTACTATCTTTGTTACCAAAGTCATGGCCTATAATAATAGACTTGAAAGATTGTTTTTTTTTTTTTTCAATACCCTTGCATGAGAAAGATAGGGAAAGGTTTGCTTTCTCGGTACCTCCTTTGAATAACAGTCATCCACTAAACAGATACCACTGGAAGGTTCTTCCACAAGGAATGTTAAATAGTCCAACTTTATGCCAGTATTTTGTGCAACAACCATTAGAAACTGCTCCTAAGCAATTTTCTTGACCTATAATTTATCATTATACGCACTTCACTCTGTTGGTTGATTCTGACAAAGACGTTTTAGAGAATATGTTTAAGGTAACACAAAGAATTCTGCCATGCTGGGGGGTTATTGACTGCTCCAGAAAAAATTCAAAGGGAGATTCACTTAGTTACGTGGGTTATAAAATCAGTCCACAAAAAATTTGACCATAAGAACGTACAGATCCGCAGGGACCAATTGCAAACTCTTAATGATTTTCAAAAGTTATTGGGAGATATTAACTAGCTGATGCATACAATTGGACTAAGTACACATGAGTTAAGTAATTTGTTTCAAACATTACAAGGAGACTGTAGGGGTGGATCTGAAGCTTTGATCAGGAATCCGTGTGCGAGCACTTAAGGTCCTTTTCCACAACTGGTTCTTGATCAATCAATAAAGATGCCAGTGACTCATGGCTGGGTGGAAGAGGCAGGACTTCCAGGTTCCCACGGGCAGGCTAGGAGAAACAGGATGAGGAAAGGGATTCATCATGCTTCAGAGGGAGAGAGAGTCACCAGCCATGTGAGATCTGGGGTGGAGTGGCCATTGGCCACTTCCCCAGGCTGAAGACTGGAAATGCAGCTAAGCTGAGGAGGGTAGATGCAGGGTGTTGAGCAAGGAGTGAAGGAAAAGGTTTGCTATCTGTGGGGGGCTTGGACTAGTCCAGCTGCTGAGCCATAAGGCAGGTTAAAGATGAGCGCTCTCTCTCCTCTCTCTCTCTCTCTCTCTCTCTCTCTCTCTCTCTCTCTCTCTCTCT